ATTTGCCTGATTACTAAAGTGTATGAAACTTCTAGAAAATGATGATGAATGTTCAAAAGAAACCCCTGAGAAAGGGTTAGTATTTGTTTCCCAGTTTAGTGAATGAATGATTTGTTTTTCATGCAAAAACACCACCACCTTTTTTGTTTTGTCAAATACTTCTGTGGAAATGACCCCTTTGAGGAAGGAGAGAAGAAAAAGCCGAACAATTTCAGAATTAGGATAGCAATTGGTAGGATATTTCCTCTTCCTTTTTCTTTCCACCTTCTTCTGCATAGACACCTGCACAGATACTGCCCGCTAGAGGGCACTTGAGGTAGAAGAAAAAACGCTCTGTCGTTCACTTGAACAGGACCAGTTGCCTGTGTAGGCAGCAGCCGGCATCCTACAGGCAGTGCCCGTTCTCCACACGGCAGCTTATCCTTAACAAAGGAACGAACAAAAACTCCTTAGACAAGCATTATGCCGCTCGGACTAATAAAGCAATTCTCTTCACATTCTCAAGAATGCTGGAACATTTGTCAGATGCATATATAGCTGTCTTCCCTGGAATCATGAACTTGACGACAACTAATCAGAAATATAACTCTATTTCAGACATAATAAGAGATGGCAATGGGTCTTCCTCACCCCGCACACATCTTTATGCCCCTATACATGAGTAATGATACATTGGTATAAGTGAGCAAATTTCAAATGCTGGCAATCATCTAAATCAGACTTAAGATCAATTACATCTCATTATTTTGTTTTAATATTGAATACAATCTGATATGTGAAACATAGTATTTATTTCTCTTTCTCTTTTTTCTTAAGAAAAAAAAAACACACAATGTAAACTATTTTTAATGTTTTCCTCTTCATGGCTCCCATGTTAAAACAAGAGGGGTCTGGAATTTTAATCAGGTTGCTCTTCTCTTTCAGAAAAAATAAAAAATTGCTAAGTGGGTAGTCCACAAAACCTGGGCTGGTTTATTTGTTAGCTTCATACCAGTTCCCTTAAAAGTATCTACTGTACCCACCCCCTCCCCAGCTCCCAGTTTCTGTTTAGACTCTGAATTGGAGCTTGTCTCTTTCCCAGCACCTGGGAAGATGGGGGATAAGGCCATTTTGAAAACCTTCTCCAAAATGCTCTCAGCACAGATGTGGTTTTCACAAGTGTGTTTACACCTCCATTTACTGAAAATATAATGGCCAGCTCAAGATTAGTAATCACAGTCAATATTAAGAGATGCAAGCCTCATTTCAGGGGTAACTAAAACCGCAGCCAAGAAATGTCGAGAAGCAGCTCTGAACGGCGAGCTCGCTGACTGTTTCAGCCCAGGAGTTCCATAACCACTTCTCAAGACATCAGTTCCGGTTTTCAGATCCTGTAATAAACTTAGTGAAGTAATCACATGAGAAATTTAATATGCATATGCTTTTATTTTATTTAAAGATAGTATTCTGTTTCAGAATATTCCACGACAAAAACGGTAAGTATCAATATAATATGCCCCTTAATTTTTCTCATGGATATATAGATAGATATCACCTGACAAAACAATACCTAAGGCAATAGTTTTTAAACTTGAGCAACAGAGTCTCCTGGAACATTTGTAAAAAACCCAGATGTCTGAGCCCCACCAGGATTCAAGGCATGAGAATGTGAGTTTCTAACAAATCTCCTGAGAAAGGGAGGCAGGACCTAGTCTAGAGACCAAGACTTGAGAGTCACTGTGACTGCTCATATTCACATAGCTTGAGCACCATCTATCTTTTCATGACTTTAGGGGAAAAGAAGCAAAAAACAACAACAACAACAACAAAAACTGGTTTAAAACAAACTCTTAAACATTAAAAAAAAAAACTTTCCTAAATTTACTGAAAAATGGACAAACTTATTTAAACTACCTTTTACAATATTTCATCCTTATAATTTATGCAACAATATTGGGATTGAAAATAAAACTTTAAAGTTCTTTTGCCTAATGTCACATTTTTTATATATTACTTACTTCTCTCAAAACAAACAAACAAACAAACAAACAAACCTAACACGGTGGTTGTTAGATATCCTCATTAGGATTCCATAACATAAAATGTGGAAAAGGGACTCTGAATTTCCAGAAAATGTTACATATTAATTGGTATAACATTTAAGTTTTGGCCATCTTCATATTTCACATATTTAAGGTTTTTATTTTTAGTTTCAAATAACCTTGGCAGGTGTCACTTTATGAAACCCTTTCATTCACGGAATCCAGACTCCTCAACTTTTTACCTTTAGGAGGTGTTCTATGAATGACTTAATCTAACTTGAAAAGGAACTAATAAGAAAGTTCTCAGTAATCATATCATGGTAAACATACTTTATTTTTGTTTTGGGATTTTAAAAGTTAGATTATTTTAGTTTTTAAGAAAGAATGCATGGAAGAATGAAAAGAAGAAAATTTAAAATTTAATGCAGCAAATAATAGATATGCTCTAGTCTACCACTCCCTGCTCAGTCTTTCGAAGATGGAGTGTCCTTAGCTCTTCTACACCTTCCAGGCCTCTGCTTCTTATAAGCCATCTGATTCCTTACTTTCCAACTAGCCAGTCACATGGTTTACTGTTTCCCTCAGTCAAAATTATACCAAAAGTCTCGCCATAGTGAAAAAACAGTGTATTTTACTACATGGAGTCTCTCTCCATCTCATTCAATTGCTATGGACTCCTCTGCATCCTCTGCAAAATTACCTACCTGTCACCAAAACCCAGGCTGGGGAACCCCTGCCTCATCACTCAGCACATCAGTCACCCAAGGGTGTGCTGAATGTCGTTCTCTCTACCCCACTCCCTATTGCTCCTCCCCTTATACTCCTGCCCTATCAGATAATACCCTTCCTTCCTCTGCAAAATGCTCCACAACACATGCAATTTCAGTCTCCATTCCAAAAAGCCTAGATAACATACTCCTCTTCCTGCTGGAAGTCTGTAACCCTGAAATGGATGTTGAAAAGAAAACACTTTCTTAAGGAGTTAGGTTCTTGCCAATGTGACATCACACTGCATCCAATTAAGAGTGGTGGAATTGTGAAACAGGCAAATGTTTTGTCTTTCAGCATCCCTGATTATTTTAGAAATATCCTTGTAGGGTTTTAGAACCTTATCCTAATCCTCTTTCACACTGCTTAATCATCCAGACCTCTCCGAAGAATCAGGAGGAAATTCGTAGGAAATTCCTACTGCGGTGCTTTGAGCTGAGATGGAGAGTGGAGAGAGGACTACCATGCATTCTAGTGGCCAAAATTCAGTAACAATGGATGTAACTGCTCTCAGAGTAACCCTGGACAAGGTGAGTGAAAACACACTCACCCCAGCCCCAGGTACTGAAAGCCATTGGAATCTACCTTCACTTTGTGCACTTTGTCAAAATAGTTTTCTTTTTTTCCTTTTAGAAAATGAGATTTGAGGATATTGTCTATCTCTACCATTCTGGCTTCCTTTTGGGATGAATTTGTTATTTGTGACAATACCCAGCCTTCAGTAACACACATGCTTTTCTTTAGTTCTCACTGATGGAAGAAAGTACCCCAAGGAAAGGTTCAGACCATTTGTTTAAAGTGAAAACGAATGCCTTAAAATGAAACCCAACCTAAGATGAGATCTATTCCTTTGTCCACTTGGGATTGCCTAGTCTAGCAGCAGTTGTACTGTGATTGAGGTGTGACTGCTGTTCCTTTTTTTCAAGATAGAAGTTGCCAATTCCTGAATACCCTGTATGCACACCGAGTCTGAGAAAAGAACAAACAGTTATTTAGTGACTGCCTGAAGGGAAAAATACCTCTTGGTTCTCTTCAGCTCTCCCTCTCTGAAATAATTTACTAAGTTTCTTGCCCATGACAGATAGAATATGAAACAGACAGATTAGACCTATAGTCAATATCCCTTTCAACATTTCACAGTGGCATGTTAGATGCAGCACACAAACACAAATGTCAAATCTGCATATATATTATAAGCATATTATGTCTGTTTTCTCATTCTGCTCACTGTCTCATTAATTTGAGTCAGACAGTCCAAGCTCTACAGACCTTCAGTCTGGTCTTCTGCACCCTTTTCTCCATCTGTTTGGACTCTGTCCCCAGATGGTAAAACCCTTCCTCACAGCTCACTTCTACTGCATAGAGGAAAAGTACAAATTAGTTCATCTTATTTTTCACTAATGTTATTTAATTTTTTTTTCTTTATTTATTTTAGAGAGAGGAAGGGAAACGGAGATAGAGAGAGAGAAACATTGATGAGAGAGAACATCGACCAGAGGCCTCCCACATAACCCTACACTGGGGACCAGGCCCACAACCTGGGCATGTGCGTAGACTGGGACTCTAACTGGCGACCTCCTGATGCATGGGGTCGACGCTGTCACCGAGCCATACCGGCCTGGCTCATTAATGTTATTAAAGGATGATCACAGTGGGCGATATATTTCTACATAGTAGCCTCAGTGATGAGAAGAAAAGAAACTGAACCTACTAATTCATAATCCCTTCTTACACTGGCTCTACCCCAAGGTGGCCGTTTCTCAGGATTAGAGTGGAGTCTGTCAGAGGACTTGAAGGGGCCACAGATAGGGCATCTCTTGGTGGAGGAGTTGAACGCATGGTGCTTAAGAGGACATTGAGAAGACTTTTAGCAATGCTTCCCTTTATTTCCAAGCAAGTTTTGCTCCCATTCTCATACCTTCTTATTGTGCTACCTTATGTTCTCCCTGGTCTCTCCAGAGGACTAGACAGACGCATAGGGATATCAGGAATGCGCTCCACCCACAGGACCACGACGTGTGGCCTCAAAACCTGTACCTTCTGAGTAGAAGGCAGCGGTCTTACAATCACCGACTCTGCCCGCAAGAGGCTCTTGGAAAAAACGAGGAGGTAAGCTGCCCAAACCCACCCTGTTGCCCTGTGCGCTCTCTTCCCCCCATGGAAAACAGCTGTAGGTCACCAAGGCACTTTCCAAGCTACCACCAGCTCTAGAGCTCAGGTAAGCTTCAAAAGAGAAAGCTCCTGGGTACTGTCACCGAATTTTTCAAGCATTTGCCAGCCCTCTTATCCGAAAGCTTGGCCCTCCGCGGGCTGCGCGCACCGCACGGAAGGGCGCATCTCCGCCCGCCGCCTCCTCTGGCGGCGGAGTCGCGCGGGGAGTGCTTGGTGGCAAGGACCTAAAAGTTGTGTGCTCACTTAGTGAGGGGAAGAGCCAAGAAGACAGCACGCGCGAGCGAAGGAGGAAGGCAGAGAGGGATGGGGAGGGGGGCTGCTTACACGAATTTCCAAGTGGTAGACCTGCCTCTGCGCTCTACCCAATGAGATCCATCAGGGGAGGCACCCGGCTCACTTTTCCACATCACTTCACAGTTACATTTGGCAGGCAGGCAGGCGGGCTCGCACGCCGGAGCGCTCAGCCCAGAATTATTGGATTTATTTGGAATCTTTCTGCCTCCTCGAAGCTCGTCCGCTGTCGCCGGTTTGCGCACAGACAGTAGCGTCCTCCCAGCCGCTGCACTTGGGGCTGCGGACACCCAGATCCCAACGCTCCCGCCTCGCGTTTCCGCGCCAAGCCCCGCAGCTTCTAGAGGCATGAACGGAATCCCGAGGCGCCTGCCCAGCGCGCTGGGACCGTTCAATGCTCGTCGCCCTCGGGAGCCGACCCCGAGTCCCTCCAGACAATTGTGAATCAAGAGGCTTGAAATTCGCCAGCGCGGAGTGTGCCGCACAAGAGTAAGTGAAGCCCCTAACCCCCGTTTTTCTCCATGCCCCGAGGACCCAGAAGAGACCGTTTCTTTTAGTAATTCCCATGACCCTTCGGACACCTTGCGCGCCTCCTTCCCTGCCTCCTTCCGCTCAGATGCTAGATGCGGGTTCCCAGCCCAGGCTCCGGGCTGAACTGCGCTTTCTTTCCTGATAGGCACAGCCAATGGGGCGCCTCGGGGTTTTGCCTGACGATTTTTGCAAACCTCTGTGACAGTCGATCCTAGGGAGTAGCAAGCAAGCTGTGCCCCTCCAGTTTTCGTGCCGGCCCCTCTCCTTGTGGTCGCTTCGCGACCCAGGCAGGCGCAGCTGCAGCCGCGCGCCTTCACTGCGGGGCCGGCACGGGGAATTGGAAGCACCTGCCGCTGGTGGTGGGGCTGGTGTGAACCGGCTAGGAAAGGAGGCGAAGAGGCTGGGGTGCCCTCTTGCCGGTTTGCTGCATCTCCCCACCCCCGAGGAGAGGAAGGGCGACCCCCGCGGTGGGGCTGCGGATCGCGACTCAGCCGCCAGAGCCCCAGCGCCGGGCTTTCCTACAAGTGGCTGCTCCAGGCGTGGAGGCGCGGTGCCGGCTGCAAACTTGCGGGATTCCGCGCTGCCCCGCGGCTCTGCAGTCTCCAAGACTCTGTCCCGCACCCAGGCAGGAACCCCAGGCAGTGTCCTTTTCCAGCCGGTGAGACTGAGCTCACAGAGGCCCCCAAAGCCGGGGACTTCTCCTCTCACATCCCAGCCCCAGAATCCCCTCCTGGCGCGGTTAGAACCTGGAGCTGCGCTTCCTGTCATCTCACCGCTTCTACCAGCCAACCCGTGATGGGGGAGGAGGAATCGCGCCCCTAGCAGGGCAGGAGGAAAAGAGGGCTCTCGCCTGGGTTCTGCTAGCGCGTAACAGGTTCCTAGGGACCTATTCCGGGTCTCCAGGCTCCAGACGAGGCTGGGAGACAGTAAAAACCTGCCGCCGTCAAAGGCGATGCCAACAGGTATCCACAATTTCCTCCGCTTTTCCCCTCCCCAAGACGAAAGCCTTCCCCTCTCCAATCTGGCCGAAACCTCAAAGTTTCCACGTCGTTGACCCTTTCCTGCAGGCACAGAGCCCGCGGCACGTCAAGAGATAGCCCTCTGCCACCGCGAGCGGAGATAGCAGCAGTTTGCTTGGGTTGCTAAATGTAAGATATCAAACAACATTAATTGTTTATTGTTGCAAACGCACATTAGTTTGTAATGGAAAATCGGGCTGGCAGCTGCTCACTTCAGCTTCAATTAAAGGCTGGAGTTTATAATCGAGCAAGCAAGCGGGAGGAAGACAAGGTCCTTTCAACTTTACCACCCTTTCCTGAAGATTCCACAAGAGTTTCCTCTTTAAGAAGCAGGAGCCGTCAGTTCTTGAGCGCTCAGGGGTTGCTAATGAGATCAGCCCACTGCCTTCTTCACCAGGCTTCCTAGTACTTGTGGGCTACGATGGGAAGGAGGGACGCAGGAGAAGGTAGGCAAGAGCACTGCCCTCTGGCTTCCGGTGTGGTCGCCAAGTCTGGGGAGGGATTGGGGTTGGTCGGGACCTTTGGGAGCCCCTGTCCTCTTTTACAACACTCCTGACAGCCATATCAGTGGTTAACAGCCCTCCCTGGGCTGTCACCTCCGGCTTCATTATAGGAGCTTTTCAACTGGAAAACTATATGTAGGAAAGAGATATTTATGTAAGATTGGAGAGTGGGATTTTCCATCCATTCAACCTCCAGGCTGTACCTCACTGCATGCAAAATGAGCTCTATCCTTCATGCTAAGCACAACTGAGTTTCCTGCCTGGCTACTTATCAGCTGTGCCCACTTTTACAGGGGTTTTATCTGGAGTGTGGGAGTGTGTGTGTATGAGAGAGAGTGAGAGAGATTGATTTCTCTACAGAGAGACCTGATACCATTGAAGAATGTTTTCTGAGGGTTACATTTTTTTTCCACTCAAAGGGAGTTCTCCATAATCATCAAGTCCAGACATGTTTTTCCACTTCCCCGAGCTCTGGCTGAAGGAAATTGTAGTGCTATCTCTCTTATTCAATAATAACACTAATAATCATATTCTGCAATTCTGCTTTAGCAGCTTTGAAGGCCACTGTCACATAACCATTGCATGCTGGAGCAGTTGCAGGATTTTAAATCACCTTCAATATGTTATTTTCTGGGCCCTGAAGAGAGCTTGGAGTTGAGAATATCTGTTGTGAAAACAGAGAAGAGCCTCCCTGGCAACTCTGGGGATTGCTTCATTCAGGGCTGTTCATCTTCCTTATTCTGTTCCCTACACCACCCAAACCAGACTCAGGGTATCCTGTGACCGTCACAAATAGGCCAGATGTGTTGCAGACACGGACTCCTGTTTTCTGAGATGTGGGCAGTAATACTGTCATTCAACTTTTAAATCTCTTTCTCCCCTGCAACGTGGAGCTGGTATTTCCAAATGCTATTATGATTAAAAATCAATTCTTCAATTTAACAGTCTGCAATCTTTTAAAACTCTCAAGACTCCAGATAGGTGCATCTCTCCAACTGAGATGTTAGCAGTTGGAGGCAATGTTTTTGGTGTCTGGGATGCATTTCATGAGCTCTCAAGGTGAGCTGCACAGCAGTTTCCCAGCAGCCCTCCCTAGAAGAGCAGCTCCGTGTGCCACTATGTGCACATCAGCTCTGAAGGGAAGGACATCTTTAACCTGACAGATAACTTCATTTGGGTAATTTGTAGAACTCTGGTCAAGGCAGCAGTCATCTGAAGCAACCCCTTAATTTAGCAATGAACACACTTCAACTAGCCGATGGTGGTATTCTGGATGTAAAAAAACAACAGCAAAAAACACCACCAACAACAACACTAACAACCCATAAAACATGTTCAGCAAAATGGAATAGACTACTGGAGAAAGCATTTTAAAGGCTGTTATATGAATGTACTCATGATGCAACATTTTCCTGTCAAGTATTTAAGGTCTGATACTCTTGGTTCCCAGGGAGCATCAGATTGTTGGAGCCAAACTAGGAAACTCTGAAGAATGAGGATATAATGATTCCATTCAGGAAATTGTACCTCTGGGCTTTGCTTCCTAGGTTCCTTTCGCTCTTTATTGGTGAGGAAAAAAGGAACAAGCACAAATAAGAAAGTTATACTCTACATTTCATCACCTGTTCAGAAAAACTTAGTACAAGTAAATTAATGCTTTCAACAAATAATATTCTTCATTTTTCTGCTCAAGGTTGCACACCTTATAGCTTTATCAATATTCGAGTTGGAGCATTTTTTCCCATGCAAAACCAGAAGCTTTTCATGGGTAAAATGGCATTCCATTTATATTTTCAGCAACATGTTTCTGGCTCATCAGCAAAGTTTTGTATTTGGCAGGTCCAAGAACAAGCAGAATTAGAGCAGCCTTTAATGATCAATGTACTTTCAAGTCCCAAGACTTTCTTGTGAAAATACATGCTCAGTGGTGCTGCTGGACTTAGTCATTTGATATTTCTTGCAATGTTATTCAGAGAAACAGAAAAAAAGTGCAGTTTTCTCTTTGTTTTCAGCACTGTTGGCATTCATGGCTGAAATGGACTAACTTTGCTCTTTAGTTTAGGAAGAGAGTCCTAACCTGGGTGTGTTATACACCTCCTGTGGAGCGTAGAATGAAACCACGGATGATTCTGTGCTCTGTATTGTGTACTGCGTGCACACACACACACATACACACTTCCAGAAAACCTGAAAACATGACCATATAACTAACTCATTTATTGGTTCAAGTATGAGATCTTTATCACATTCCTTTTGTCATTTCATCTGTCTTAGATTATTGGATTTGCCCTCCTGGCTCTTGAACTGGCTCTTGTTTGTGGTTGTGGGGATCTATCAATGAAATATACTTGAGAAGTAGAATAAAATTTTGATGGACCAAGGTGGTCATCGGATTTATTGGGGTTTAAGTAACCCAAGAACTATTAGTTCTCTCTCATTTCATTCCCATGAAATTTGTGATAAACAGTGGATTTCTACCAAACAGTGGGTTCATACCTCTGGAATTGCCTTAGGTATAGCCATGAGGAGAAAATTAGGTGATCCTGGAAACTTCAAAAGGTCAGAAAAGAAATAAATTCCAGGGATGCCATGTAGCTGCTTCTCCTGTATGTTGCAGTGAACCGAATCTCCATCACCACTTCATGGCAAAGCACTAGGGCCAGGATGATATCCTGTTCCTATCACATCCCAAGCTTCTGTTTCCTGAGCTTTAAATGTCATGTGCTATTCTCTATCATAAATATCACCCCCCCCCCCTTCTTGCTTTTAACTTCTATCCGTAGGCAGAAATATATAGATGTGATTTTCAGATCTCTGAAACAGATCTCTAAACAAATAACACTTGTATTTAGAGCCTTCAAACACTTTCCTTCCCTACCTTCACAGCCGAAGACAATGGCAACCTTAGAGTGATGGTTGGTGGGGGCCTAAGCACAGAGCTCATGGTCAGTAAACATCCACTTAATGCATTAACAATAAGCAAAGATGATGCATTCTCAATAAAGTGGAGGTGGGGGAGTGAGACAGCAATCATAACCAAAGTCCAATATTATGGTGATCTACCTCATTTTTCTCTACAGAAGTTTCCTAAATTGTCCTGAGCTTATTTTTAGATGGAGCCTTTCTCTCTCTTTTTAAATCAGTACTCTTCATGTTCCACAAAGCATATTTTTCCTCCTTTGAAATCACTTTTAAATGACATGGGGATATAAAAGTCAGCTTTGTGAAACTGAGAATGCCTCTCGAGCTAGACTTGCACCAGGCGTGCTGCTAAACTGCATGTGATGCAGAGTGATCTTTTACTGGGAAGATGCTCTAATTATGGAAGCACTGCATGTGTAACTCAGTGTCCGTACCCTTCCCTTGCTGGAAATGTATAAAAAAATGCCAAGAAAAACTTTTTATCTCCTTTCTTTTTTTCTCCCTGTAATATACT